CAAGCACGTAATTTAAACTTAAGAATTGTTTATTTCTGGAATTTTCCATTGAATATTTTCAGACCACAGTTGACCAGTGGGAAGTGAAACTTTGGAATGCAAAACCACAGAAAAGGGGAGACCACTGTACCACCTTCTCTATCCTCCGTCACCCCCAACAATGCCAGCCAGCGTCTGTGGAGATCAGCTATCCATTCTTGCCTCGTTTCTGGAATTCCTCAACCACAATGACCTTCAGCCACTCCTCTGAGTGCGCCCTAGGATATGTCATCACTCAGAACTGCCTCACTCTGAAATCTTGTTTTCTGAGATTACCTTCCTTCTGAATTACTTCCGGCCTCTGCATTCCTTTTGATGCATCTACACTGTGGTCTCACTGAGACAGCAGATCCCATGATCCTTTTCTCTTCTCTCACTCCATCAGTGCCCGCCTGGCTCTGCCTCTTTTCTTGCCCAGTCCAGAATCCCACTATCCATCACTTTGACCACTTAATTGCTATCCCCTTGCTACCGTTTCTTCTGATTTATCTGCTGCTAATTCCTAATCCAGGAGTCAGCAAACCTCTCTGTAAAGGACCAGAATATAAATATTTAGGCTTTGTGGGACATACAGTCTCTGTTGCAACTATTTAGCTATGCTATTGTAGCACAAAAGCAGTCAAAGACAATATATAAACCAATTAGTGTGGTCGTATTCCAATAAAACTTTATTTATAAAAACAGGCTGTGGGCCAGGTTTGGCCCAGAGGCTATAGTTTACCAATCACTGTCCTAATCTTTTTAATTTAAATATTTACCTTCTTTCCTTCCTATCCAGGCTGCTCAGCACTATTGGAGGAAAGCACAGGACCCCATAAATTAGGGCCTCTACAAATGGCCGACCATTCCTTCAATTATCGGTGTCTCGTCTGCTCCATCTTCCATTCTCTAGAGCGGCTATTCTAAATCTTCACCACCTCTCCAGAGCTGTTATACCACTCCAAACTCCTCAGTCTTGGCAGGCGACGTCAGAAAAGGAGATACTGAGGCCATGACACACAGTGTGTACTGCACGAAGGCTCAATACACTTTAATTATTAAAATCAACAAAACCCTTCCTCATACCTGATACATCCTTTCTCCTCCTTCCCTATAGGCCTCGGGATGAGGCGACTCTCTTTCGGTTCTGGGTTCCAGCCCACCTCCCCACCCCCGTCATGCCTCCCTCTACCCTGCCCTCTCTCATCTCTCACTTCTCACCCAGTTTCTTCTCCTACGACAGCCTCCAAAGTGCTGCCCCATGTCTCGCCCCCTCTAAACTGATCTCTCACATTCCCTGACCAAGTAATTTTTCTAAAACACATTTGTAAAGCAACTCACCTGACTTAAAACCTTTAGTGACTCACATTGTCTTCAAAATAAAGTCCAAACTTAACCTGGCATACATTGCTTTTCATCATCTGTCCTGGCTTAATTGTCCAGTGTTTTTTTCTATTACTTCTTCATGCACATTTTCAATT